CATTTGAAGTGAATGCAGGGTTTTGCCAAGAGCTGATGCTTTGGGCTCCAGCATTCCTTTGCCTGCCTGTACTCTGAATTACAGCTGGAGGGTGATATAGTCAGAAGACAAGAAAACAATTAAAACTGCCCAAGTCAAGCAGGTTACTGACCTCAAGCAGTTATCCTGTATTCATAATCCTTTTGGGAGAATGAAATAAAGTCTCAAAAGTTTCAAATCTAGCACTAACTCTAAATCCAGTGCTAACTCTAGTGACAGCATGTATATAAATGATGCTGAATTAAATCAGTGTCTTAAAGAAGGCTGGCAACCAGCTCTTAACCTAAAACCAGTCACAAATACAAACAGCTCAGCTTTCCAACAGTGAGCGAATGACTGAGGTGCTGTACAGCAGCCCATGTCCCTCCGTTCACTACTGTGAGGGCAGTAGCTCTGTTGGGGGACAGCTAAGCATGGTGCAGCCACTGACACATTCTTGGCATAATCTTTCCATCTAAGAATTAAATGCGAAAAAAACCAACCCAACACCTGTTTCCCTATTTACAGGCTGATTACCATGTAGGAATTGAGAAGTACTTGATTACCTTTTTGTTGAATCGGGACCATCTTGGTCTTGATCACATGGACATTACAAGACATAGCTGGTAGCGTCTGGGAGATAACCCCTTTATGCCTACCAAAAGGTGGTGGAAAATCAGGCCCTGAAGACTGAGGGAAAAAAACCAGTTCAGTCTAAACGTGTACACTGGGCAGGTTGGTGCTAGCTGTAGTCGCTTGCCACATTAAGAAAGTGTCCTCATAGCAGTTTCAGGAACTAAACTAAACCAAAGCAATCTTTAAAAAGGGAAACAGCAAAATTTGGTTTCACTGGTCCTGTAGTTACAGGGTTGACTTTGGGGAAGAGGGCGTACAATGAGGCCGTTTTCACTTCCCTGACATTTTGGAGCCTTCACGCTGAATTGAAAGAGAAATTTTTCTTCCTCCGAGTTTGTCTTCCTGAATTCAGAGCTATTGCATTAGCTTGATGAGTGCTCTCGTCAAGTCATTCATATTGACTAGGATTTTGGATTTTAAATTATTTGAAACAAATTACTGGCAAGATGAAAGGAAATTTAATGGAAGTTGTTTGCAATGAATCCTGCCGAGTCAATTGTCAAAAGACTGGTTAGGTTTAGGTTGCAACCATTGTAATTACGGACTTTTCCAGATTTCAGTACGAGCTATGTAATTTTTTTCTCCCCGCACTTCTTGCTTTATTTAGCTACATCTCTCTCATGCGGTACTGTATCTTTAATTTGCGTGACAGTAGGATTGTACCAAGTGGACTTTCTCTCTCAGCTGGGGTTTCATTCCGCTCTACTTACAAAAGGGTTGGACCACACTGTTGTGCAGTCCCAGTTTAATTATGTTTTAAAGGTGAACACAGCCTCACATGCTGACATTAATGATACTCATGACTAAGCAAACCACTCCAACCACGTTTTCCATCTTAGGCAGGATACTAAGGTTCATTTTAGCCAGGGCATATAATGCATCTTGCCATGTCTGTGTAACTTAGAGAGTGGATTTATTTTGAATGCGTGCTCATTTAGAAATATATTCTAATTGAAATGTTTTAGTGCTTTATCTTCCATGCATACCGTGCAATACCATAGTGTGTTCTTTTCCTTTTTTTTTTTCCTAAGGCTTTTTTGAAATTCTTAATGTTTCTTTGAGCTCCAATGTGGTTTTGACTTGGATCAGTTCTGGTAGTAGCAATGCATTTTCCTTGCCTTGAGCTAACCAGAAGCAGCAGCAGCACATTGCACAACCAAAAATCTTTGCAATTCATGCACCCTCATGTTCACCAGCAATCGGGTACTCCTGGGAGGCGGAGAATGCTTCTCTGCAGAGTATCTAATTTGCACTTACTGTAAAGAACTGATAGCAACCCAGGGAAATAGGAATAAACTAGAGAGAAGAGCTCTCACCTGCTCCCACCAAACTCCACAGTAATTTTGCCATCAACTTTCAAAGGATCAGGCCAGAAAAATCAGATCCAGATCTTCAGCTAGCACGGAGTGGTGCTGCTTTCAGTGGAGCAGAGCACGTGGCTCACAAGCGGCTTTCGGAGAGTTTGGCTCTGGGACTGGGGTTCACTCCCAGTCTCTGCAATGAACTATTTTAATGTAGGAACCTGACCACTGTGACACAGGCTTCTAAAAGACAATCAGCTTCTGGAATTACTTCTTGATACAATTCATTGGAAATCCATTCTCCTCCACGTTTACAGCTTCTGTCTTACTCGAGATTACATTCCATTCTGGTGTTTGGTAGTATAGGAGTTTAAACTACTCGCAGTTTCTGTGATTGCATTGAAACCAAGCAATTCAAAGGTGCTATAATTGTTCACAAAGCACATTCCCATCCGTAGAAGGAAACGTTAACTTTTTCACTAGTTATTTTACACAGTATTTTTTTATTTATATCGGTGTGTTTCGTATGTGTGCAAATGGTCCCGGCTTCTCTCATTGTAATAAGCTTTACAACCATTTGGTGTTTTATAGAGCAGCCATATGCAGTATCTTGCAATCGTGTAATTTCTTAACTTAGAGCAAGAATAAATCTCATCTGACATGATGAACTCATTTATGGCAGGCTCTAATGTTTGTTGTAAACACGACCTGTTGGTTCCACCTCTTGCATGGTTACTTACCTGTTTTCATATTGCTATGTTATTGTTCAAAATATCTCTTTCTCTTTATTTGCTATGGGTTTTGTTACTGTATATGGAATGTTTTGTATTCAGCATTTTCTTACAGAGCAGAGTGGGAACAGTATTCAAGAACCCACAAATACCAAAGACCTTTCATGTAATGCACTGAGAAATAAACATACTGTAAATGAATATGATGTCAGGTGTCCTGTATTTACAAAGTTCAGAGCAAGTTCAAGCAAACTGCATCCTGAAATTAGGGCATCTGTTTTTCTTTCCTGACATCTCAACTTTCTCTATGTTTGCAGGTCTCTTAAAAAACAAGATTGTGCATAAAGACCCTGCTTCTGGTCATCTTCCGTGGGGTGGAGGGGGCAAAAAGGGCCTTCATCAGCTAAAGCCAAATCTGACCGTTTCCTTGCCCGTGATGGGACTGACTCTTCTGCAGATATTGGCTAGACTGCTTCAGCAAGCGTGGCTGCCATCTCAGAGGCCTGAGATTCGTCTCTAGGACGCGCTTAGTCACTGCTCTGCAGTCCCAACCATGCTAACCAAATACAGGGGCATATCCTGCCTTCATGGTGAGGCATTTAATTCCTAAAGCAGCCTAGGTAAGCCTTCAAGCAATGTCAACTTCGAGCATCTTGCTTTGCGTTGCAGAGCGAGGCACTACCTGGGTATGGCAGACTCTTCCTGCAGGAACAGCCCTCCCATTCCTGCAGGAGTTTGACGTCACTACAGATACAGGGATCGCAGCTTTCCCTCAGCTGAGCTAGGGCGCTCTGAGGACGGGCTGGCTGCAGCAGACTGTGCGACGGGGAAACAAGCCAGAGAGGGAATTCTGCAGTGCTTAAGAGCGTAAATTAAAATCTGTTGTTATCTGCAACTTGCCTCGCTTCCCCATAAGTTTCCTTACAGTTGAAGGAAGTCGAGTTGGCTAATCTAAGACAGCAACGGCTGCCCGGGCCCCCTCCCTGCAATGCCCTGGCACCTCCTGGGCACCTGCCTCCTCCAGAAGCGGCTGCGTTTGCCCACTTGCGCTTTCTCTGAATTTGCCTCTGGGCTTATGGAGACCCCCAGAGTCGTCACCTCTTGTGACAATTCAAACTGTTAGAAGAGGATGTGGTTAGGGACTTTTTTTTTTTAACCTTCCTACGATGGGAACAACTACCCATTTAGATGCAACTACCTGTCTGCTTGCTAAGGGAGGCTTTACTCTGCGTGAGCCTTGGCTGTAGGAGAGGACCTGGGCTGTGTTTGTCAGAGACGTGACAGTGCTGGTTTCTGAACTCGTTTTTTTAATCCTAACAAAAACGAGAGATATGTAAATCGCAGCCAATTTTTCCCCCCTACCAATCAGATTACACTGCAGATATGCAGATACCAATATTGTAGCAAAGGCTGAGTCTTGTAAACACTGAGAAATGTCCACAGCGTCAAGGTCTCTGCTTCGTGCAGCTTTTTACATCACTGATGAGGACACACTCAAGGTTACTTGATGCCAAACATTCCCATGCAGCACTTCTCTGGCTCTCTCAGGGTGTATTTATCTTGGTTTTTGTGTCCTAACACCTCCAACTCTGATATATTTATCCTTGCAAAAAGTCCTCTGAGGGAAGGCAGTTCTGTTAATCACTGCTGTACAGATTCGGAGTTGCTGGATAAAAGGCTAAACTAATTCCTCGGGACATTTGTGGCTGTGCTGGTCTGCCAAGCACCAAATTAGCATCAGGCCGGTGTTGGTCTCTGGGCCATTATGGCCACTGATTGTAATCACAGCAAGGGGAAACGGCGCTTTTCCTAACGCTTAGCACAGCACAAGAAAAATCAATGGCAGAGTTGAACAGATTGAACTTCTAGCAGGAGCTGATTGAAAGAAAAATATATATTCACAAATGAAACACAGTCACTCTTTGAATACGCTGCCTTAACTCTTCATTAACCACATCCTCAGCAGCAACTTGCTATACAGCTTACTTGTTAAAAGCAGACAAGCATTAACGCTGGAGTAAGACTGGCTCTGACAATATACAATATTTTCTACATTCACGCAGTTGGAACTGCTCTCCACGTTTCAGCCTGTTGTATGTGACCAGGGAAGGGCTACCAGGAGTACCCCCACCCCAGCGCAGCCTGAATCAGCATCTGTAACCCACGCTCACAGACTGGGGAACGCAGTGATCCTACTATGGGAACAAACTCATCCTAAGCTTCCCAAGCAACACTATGGCCAGAAAGGCAACTACTACGCTGTGCATATTATAAAGAGAAAGTAAGCAGGGAGATTATATTATCCTATTTACCACTGCTACCTCTCTTAGGACAGTGTGTCTACAGTTCACCAAAAATGGTGACAAGTTGGTTCAAAGATGGATTGGAAAAAATTTGACTACTCCAGACTCAAGGAAATAATTTGCTTGGCATCGAAGTGAGACTGGTAGCTGATCAGGTCTGACTTGGTTATCTCTGAGGCTCTTTATGAGCAGAGAGAAACAGCCGTGCCAGAGGGGCAGTCTTCCCTCCCCACATCCCAATCTTAGGACAGGATCAAGCACCCTTAGACAAAGCCGATCCCATTTTTTTTTTATCCAAATGACAAACTGAATAGCACACACGCTTTACAGCCTAGCAAGGAAAAGGTATATTAGCCACTGTCTGGCAGATAAAACACAACAGTGCACTCTTTTAACGATGATGATAATTAACCATTGTAACAATTTGCCAGAGGATGTGGTAGAGCTTTTACTCCTAGACATTTTTCAAATTAAGAGAGGACTTTCTCCTCCTAAACATATGAGAGAGAGAGTGTGTGTATGTATGTATATATTCCAACTCAAAGAAGAATTCATTCAGGAGAGCCATACTAGATAATCAAACTGGTACAGTCAGTGATCATAAAGTTGCAGATGACCATTCCTGACCCTGCCTGTATTGTGCACAACACAGCTCAGCACTGGATAGATCTGCTGCTATACACCATCTATACAAATTCACTAGTGCATGGGAACAAGATCTTTGTAGCTTCACACTAAAAGATGGCTGCGCTAAGCACATCTCTAGGACACACCATCTTTGTGCAGCACCCAGAGAGATCTAGGCTACAACGACTGACAACCCGGCCCGTGGGAAAGGGCTGTCCAGGATGGAAAACTTCTGGCATCAAAATTTTGGACTGAGACTGGCCACATACCAGGGCAGGTGGAGGTATGTGCCTCCACAAGGAGGTGCCCCGCTGATCACGGGCTACCATGCTAGAAGGGAAAGGCTGAGTCAGAGAGCCCAGAATTGGCCTGCACGCAGCATTGGTATGTCTGTGGCAGCACTGTGCCAATGCAAACCTGATTTATATATAACTGGATGGAGTTAATGTTCAGCCAGTAACATTATATGACAGTTAAACTTTAGACTTAGTTCAGAAAACATATTGGCTGAGAGATTAACAGTGCGCGATAGGATCTTGGCAGCAACTTTCTCTCTACTACTCAACCAGAAAAACATCTTCAGAAATGGATAGAGCCTGGGTCTACCTGGTGACAGGAGGACGTGGTTTTATTGGGGAGAAGATCGTAGAGTTCCTGCCTCAACAAGACTGCATCAAAGAAGTCAGAGTTTTTGATTCAGTAGCAAGAGAAGAAATAGAAAAATTCACCACAGGTAAGAAAAGGGCATCAGCTTCTATTTAGCGGCCATAACCCTCCCTTTCAAGACAGCTGGTATTATGTTGGAGATGCCACAGTTACAGGCACGGGGTAGGAACGTGGATTATACAGACTGGATGAAGAATAACTTCCAGCTCAGAGAGGTTTCTCGGCATAGGACTAAATCAAAGCAAAAAGATCCATAGTGTGTGTAACTCCAAGAGATATATCACACGGGGGATCTAAGTCCCCACTCAGGGATCAGTTGTATGGAGCAACATGCACACCGAGTACCTGACATGGGAACTCGGCTACCCAGTTGCTTCTGCTCAACCAGTCTGACTAACAGCAAAGGGACAAAAACCCCATGCTCCTGAACTGCTCCAACCAGTTACCAATTCTGAGAAAAATAACAAAAAAACCCTGACAATAATAGAACAAGCTCAGCACGTGCTGCAGATATTGTGAAATAAATTACTGAAATAATTGAGAGAAACCTATAGCAGCCTTACAGTGCTGCACATAAAAAAGGAAGAGGTGAGTCTCAGTAAACACGCTCAAAGTGACTAAATTCATCCATTTGATCATATTCTGAGAGCTGCCTTCTGATGTTTCACCAGGGTTGATTACAGTGAGATATGTTGGGGAAAAACAACCTGTTTTACTGGATTTGACAATACCCACACAAAACAAGCCAATGCAGCTCATGGGTTAATGGTGGGCTGGGTCCCCCTCTCTCTGACTGTCCAAACCTTCAGCCTGCTTCAAACGAGAGAGGAAAAAATGATAAGGGAGATCCTGTCTGTTAGGAGATCTCAATAGAAAGGAGATATACTTAAAGCAAGTTAAAAGATTCCCAGGGAAATATCACTATCAGAAACCCTCCCTAGGCAGATGAACTCACCAGACTGGTTTCCCCAGGCTTCAGGTAGCCAATTGCCTTAAAAGCACCTATAACTGAAGAAAAAAAATGTTTAAACCTTAAGAAGCTGCCATAATCCCTGCTCCAGGAGAGGTCTGTGGCCTAACGCCACAGCAAATCACATAAAAATGAGGCAGAAGCATCCCTGAGGGGCCATCCCAACCCCCGTCCCCCTGCCCCAAGGCAGAATCAGCTCGTCCACAACCTTCCCGACAGATGTTTTTCCATCCCATTCCCAAGCCACCTCAGGCACCCAATTCCTGCACCGTCAGGCCATTTTTGTTGGTACAGTCTAATCTGCAATTTAAGTCCTTGACTTCTCATCTAACCTTACAGGTAGAATAGGTTAATGCTGTCACTTTTTACAACAATCTTCATCGTTTGAAAAGCACCCCTTTCCACTCCACGCTGTTTTCCCCTTTAGGCCAAAATGGCTCTCGTGCACTCCTCCGTCCTCTGCAGCTCACACTTCCTCTATCTCTGGGCATTGGTGTTGCTCTCTTCTGGAAGAAGGGCACGGAGGTTGGACAGAGAGGCCAGCTGTGGCCTTCCCAGTGCTGAGTAAAGCTGATGGATGTATTTCTTCTGTCCTGCAAACTATTCTCCTCCTTGTACCTGTCAGTACAATTATGCCTGTTTCACAGCTGCAAGACCCTGCTGACAGGCGATAGCTCCTAAACTGTCCTGGCTCAACTTAATTCTTTCACGAAGACCCATTGCCTCTTCCCTACTAAGCCCAATATCCTCTCTTTGTCCCTATCAAATTTCACTTTTTTTTTTTCCCCCCAGACTCTATTAGTTACGTTCAGCTCGTACTTTAATCCTCCAGCGTACTTGGAGTCCCTCCCAGTCTGATGTTATCTACTGATTTAATGAACAAATCTGCCAGATTCTTGATGAAAACAGTAAAAAAGACTCAAATACAGCAATAAGCCCTGGCGAGCCCCAGGGCAGCCACCTACCACAGCTGGCAGTTCCCTGAGGACTGTAATTCAGCCAGCTTTGCGCTCACCCTAACGTGGCTTACTTAGACCATGTTTTACTGACTTGCTTATGAGAATGACACAGAGTTTCCAAAGCCCTTCTAAAATCAAGATAGATGACATCGACCTGTAACACAATATCCGTGCAGCCTGTTAACTTGTCGTAAGAACAAAGGAGATTTATCTGACTTGATTTGTTCTTGACAAATCCATGTCAGCTGCTTCTATTCTCCTTATTATCCCACAGGTGCTCACACACATGTTGTTTAAGTGTGTGTTCCTGAATTTCCTGGGGTTGAAATCAAGCTGTTCTGTAATTTCCTGGCTCTTCTTTACCTCCTTTCTAAGCACAGGTGTTTCATTTGCTCTGCTGCAGCCTTCCAGTGCCTCCTCCAAAAGTTCTCCAAAGTAGCTGATAATGCAATAAAGCTGCAGTGACACCCCTCACCTCTTCAGTAGCCCTGGATAAAGCTCATCAGGCCTTATCAATTTGAAAATATCTCCTGGTTGCCTTGTGTCCTCCCTGGTTTTGGCTGAGCTCTCAGCATTCTCTTGCTGGTCTTAATTGCACCAGCTGCCTTAAGACAGATGATGTGAAAGAGACTATTTAACACTTCAACCTGACTGGTTATGGGCTTTCCCTCACCACCAAGAAGTAGCAAAATCCCCCACCACGAGGCTGCTGACACCCTGCTCCACCTTTCAGCACTGACAAAGCC